AAGTCTTGCACGTGTCCAATGTCTGGTAGTCTGACTCGCTTGGGATCGTTGGAAGGCTCTTAAACGATGCAGTGCTCGGGCTGGGCGACGCATGGGCTGTGGTGTACCCCTCACTCCCACTGCTCTCCCTCTCCTCCACAGCTAAGAATCCCTCCGTTGTCGTTGTGGGCGTCCTACTCCTCGTCCACCCGCTCAGTGTCGACCTTGTCGTTGCAGAATACTCCCTATCAGATGGGTCCTCGCTCGTAGAGTATGCACCATACCGCCGTCTCCGAACCTCAGGGGTACGAGATAAGGATGGTGAGGTAGAGGTGGGGGGGTAACTGCCACTCGTGTACGTGTAGGGCGTGCTGCTTGTGTATCCGCTGGACGAGTAAGAGTACGGCGTTCTCGACCGGCTGTCACTTGACGAGAATGGTGTTCGCGAACGCCCATCGCTGTATGTATATGGCGTATAGCTCCCACTGCCGTCATGCGAGTCCCCCAGGTAAGAATTACTCTCCGTGCGTCTGTAGCTTAGCGTGCTCGGCACGATCTGCGTGTTTGATTCGCCACTCGTGAACTCAAACGCTGTCCCATCTGTCACTAGTCCTGTCGTTGTCCGGCCGTCGCCACTTCTGCTTGTCCTGGAGCTATCTGCTGAGAAAAAGTCTGATTCGGAACGAGAGCCTGGCACGCTGGATGTGCGTGAGCCGGCACTGAAGAATTCCTCCTCACTGACACTGAGAGCTCGGTTCCTTATTTTCCCAGTGGGAGGTGGGGTGACACGAACATCGCCCCCCAACCTTGGACCACTGCTGACTGTCACAGGGCTTCCCCCACCCACGCCCAGTATTCCACCACTCTCTGAACTCAAACTTTCGTTGACCAAGCTCAAGCCAAAGCCTAGACCAGGTTTGGCAGAACGAGCACGCGACACAGCACTAGCAAACTCCTCGTCCAGGTCTGTGAGAGATGACGTGCGGCGCAAGGATGAAGATCGGGATGGAGCGATGACACGCGGGTCAGAGGGGTAAAGGTACGACGAATCATCCGTAGTGCGCCCATGACCGCCCACACTGGGCACCCTACCGGTACTCAGACTCAACCCTCCGGAAGCACTCCCCAAATCTGACAGACTCGGAATCGTATGCAGCGGAGGTACAAAGACAGTACTCCTGCTCCCAGCAGACGTGGATGTGGAAGAGGCTATGGAGTGAATAGTGCCTATGCTGCCTGTGGGCGAACCAGATTGGGAGCGATTGGGGAGAGACAAGGAACGGTCAAGTGCTTCCCTGTGTACATAACATCATGTAGGTTAAGTAGACACTCGTCAGAATGATCCAAATTTAAGTGTGACACGAATCACTCACCAAATCGCACTCACCCACCTCACCCTTTCCCTCGCACTCTCTGCCGCAAGTCGCTCGACGCCATCACCATACAACAACTGGAATGGACACAATACTTCCACGAGACTCACGCCATCCTCGGTCATCTGAGGATATGTTCTATCTCAGCGCTCTGTCCCATCATCAACTCGCCAGTGCACGTACCTGCGCTACTGCACTCACTCCCCCAACATCGCCCCTTGCTCCAGGGTGCGTAAAGCCAGGGGTACTCCTCACTTCTGTACAATTGATCAGATCTAAGCTCACTACGCCCCGACCACCCCCAGGGGCACTCCAAGAAAGGATAAGCACGTGCGGGTAGAGCAGTGCAGAACATTTTTGCCAGCGGTAAGGCGTTGAAGAATGCACATTGAGATACCAGAGAGTACCAATGCGGATAGGCTGTGTATGGGGTCAGATGTGAACTTGAAACCAAAAATAGAATGAGGCACACCTCCCGGTTTTCTTTTCCCCCCAGATCTGTCATATCAAAAGGCGGGGGTATGAGGCTACTCGTTGAGCTCACTCTCCTCTTCATGAGATTGTTCCCACTGCTAGTGATTCCTTCGTTTTCCCTGTTTCTGTTACTGCCTCCTGCATTGCCCTTCCCACCATTCCTATCAGGCGTCACCGGCGGCTGTCCCCGCGGACCATGACGCGATGCGCGTCTACGAAGAGAGAACAAGCCCTCCATCTACACCCCTTAGTACGGTTATACACCAACTTGCAAAATCATACACACCTTTGATGCACCAGGCGGAGATAGCTCGCTCCCGCCTTCACTGCTCTCACTTTTCACTTTCCCTAGCCCTGGTGTGCGTTCCTTCCACGCAGCTACGATGTTTCGTACGCTCGTTAACGGGCTCCTGGGGCTCGTGTTAGTGTCGTTCAGAGGAGCGGTGCTACGACGGAGGGTGGTCTGAGGCTGGCGTGTGGGTGTAGTATCGTCTTGTCTACCTGGATCGAGGAAAGTGTCAACACGTAGTAAAGGAGTGAAGGTAAGGGCAGAAGAGGTGATGACACACGGACCTCTAGCAACCCCGAATGCACTCGAAAACGTACTTGCAAAATCGCTCGGGCTTAGCTGTGTCCTCCCTGTCGCTGTTGCTGTCCCACTGCCACTATACGTCCCGGTTGGGGTGCTAAACCCGCGCACTGGTGGACTTAACAAAGTCGACAAGCTCAAATCAGTCCCACCTCCACCTGAAGAAGTCGAGACGGTGGAACGCGAATCGTCGGATCTGCTTTTAGCGGCAGAGGATATGTGGGATGTGGTATAGCCGCCTGTTCCTGTGGTGTATCCGTACCCAGTCGAAGTGAATCCCGTAGTATAGCCGTATCCAGTTGAGGTGTACCCCGTGGTACTCCCTAGATGAGGCGTACTCTGGGTTGTAGGTAAAAATGGGCTTGTGATTCTCTCCTTTTCTTTGCCAGGGGTACCTGCGCGGTCCTCGAAGAATGCAATAAGGTCGCCCGTGCGACGGCTAGTTGTGGGAATATCTGTGGCACCGCGTGTGTGCCCCTGGGAGTGCGTGCTAAGTCTGTTCGCATTTGCAGGGGGATCAATAGCTGACCGAACGTGTGGGCTGGAGATTGTGCTTAGGCGGTGTGCAGAAAGACGGTTCTGGGCAAAGGAAGTTGGTCGGCTGGGGTGCTCTGTGCGTTCTGAGATGGTACTCAGGACGCGAGGGTCACGTGTGAAATAAGTTCCTGTTGCCGTTGCAGTGTCCGCAGAGTACGAAGCGGAAGTGCCAGTGTAGGACCCTGTACCACTGTAGGGAGTAGACGTACTAAAGGACGTGTAGGATGGCCGGGAAGAGGACCATTGGGAGACAGCATCCTGGGTAGAATTAATCTCAGCGTCAAGGTCGAGTTCGGTGAGAACTGCTTCGACTTCAGCGCGTTCTGCGAAACTGTCGTCGTAACCGTGACCTTCGAAGCTGGTTTCAGAGCGAGGAGGACTGAATGCAACGCGTCGGAGGAGGCCTGGGGAGGCGGATGACTCTGTGGATGCGCGGTGGGTGTCTATGTGTAAATTTGTGGTGAATTCGATATTTATAAGAACAGCTAACATGCCACCGACCGGAATCAGAGTTACTCGAGATAGACGAATACGTTGTTGTGCCATGATAACCTGGTGAGCGCGGGTCGAAGCTCGACATCGCCCGCGTCTGTTCTGTCAATTGTCAGTTCGCGATCGTCGTTGTTACTGTCAAATAGTCAATACAAGCCCATCAGGTATTTGGAAAGCACGATACGTCCTCAAGCTTCAACAATCGAATCGAACCAACATGAATTCAGGGCAGGCACAGTCGCGACCGTGTTTGGTCACGTGCGTTAAAGTTTCCACGGTGACGATCATCAAAGCCAGCTCAGAACCTGGTTAAAGTTCAACAACTCGAGTAGTAACTGTTTTCATGCTGCAAGTCGATTCCCCATCAATGTCAGGTCTTTTATGGCGGCTCTCTCTTCCTAGAGTCGTACTCTTTTGTGATTTGCGTCGAATCGCACCAGTGCCATCAATACTATCTCTTGACTCACGACTTTATGATAACTGCTGTAGTGTGAATAACGACTAGCAGAGGCAAAGCAGGGGGACATATTTTACTCCCTTAATCTAGTCCCAGCGCTTTGCGTGCAAACATACCAAGAAACTGCAGACAGGGGACTACTTCTGTGTTCATGGGGAATTAAACTACGAACGGTCAGTGTAGTTGTTCAGCGATCGTCGTATTGTCTATTGATCATTGGATTGGATCCACGTCTACAAACCTCTTGGCGCTTGGGAAAGTGACGTTCTACGCTCCAAGAGAGGTTTTGTTTAAATGACATTAATCCTAGTACTGTCTGTAATCATGCATACATGGCAGGGGTAAGTTTGCACGCAAGACAAAGTTAATCAGAATATTAATCATACGTCACATTAGTTGAGCTCACGTAGTATCCATCTATATATAGTTTTCCTCGGCGGTTGACAACGTCCAAGGACACTCGAATCAGCACAATCAGCAGAGACCCAACCTAAGCAACTGTCATTGGACAAGTCACGGTGCCACTAGCGCTGGTGGCAGTTATGTGCAACTCGTCATGATTCTATATGAAACCCTCGCTTACTGCCGCCTTGCCCATTCCACCGTATAACTATCAGCTCACCCCGCACTGCATGTAGCAGTTGTTACCGTGTGTGCCTTTCCATCCGCGAAATATTAAGCTGTTGAGCACCGTAATCTTGCAGGCTATCTCCACCGTCGCAACATGCTGCCAGGCACCAGTCGAGCCCCAACATCATGTACTCTACCCCTACCCTCTGTCGTCACAAGCGGCCGACTCTGTGACATCGCCCTGTTCCAAAGCCAAAATATGTCACTTTTCCAGCTCCCGAATCTTGGTGTTTACACAAAAAATTCCAGTTAGACATTTTGCCTCGATGTTGGCTTGGTAACCCTACGATCAGAAGTAAGCATGTAGGACCATCGTACATGGTGATACACCATGCATTCATGGTACCCCTAACTCGCATTAGCTTGAGCGGTTCCCATCTGGAATATATGCATTGCTTTGAACAACATACACAGAGGATATTTCTGCAGAGCCATATACACTGAGGCAGTAAGTAGTCACAGGCTCTTTTTAATATGGGAATGCAAGCGCGAAAACCGCTGTAATCCAGGTCGATACGGCGTCAGGAAACTTGGTGTCACGCAACGGATTAGCAACACTCGGTAGACAGGTTTATCTAGCTCACCTGGTACACCATGATACCAGCGTCTGGAAATTTATATGGTGAATCCCTGCTGACAAGCACATAAGATATGAACGCACTCCATCCTTGTTGAGCGGCGTCGCCCACACACTGGGCAAGTGAGGAGGGATCCATATAACCATTATTCGCATCTACATCTGTGGCTGGCTTGCCGATCACCAATTTGTCTAAAGGTATTCCTGCTGCTGCAATCTGGAAGAGCGCAGTATTTGGCTGCATTGGAGATGATACTGTAAGGAGGCCATAACACGTTGTGTACTCGGACGTCCCCTCTGTCTAGCAGATCAGTGACAAGCAAAGGCACAGGACGACATGATTCACGATTGTAGAACTACGAAGAATCCAGAAAGCTATATTGGTATCATGAAACGATCCCTTGTCGAGAAATACTTGCCTGAATGTTGTACTGTAGTGAATGAGTGAGTTCACGATACACTTACTCGATCTTCCAGCTTACCCAATCGATCAACGATCCAACATTCTGATGAACCGTCAAATAAGCACCGCTGGCGTATCGTGTGGAAAACCTGTACATAAGAAAATCAAATCAATCTGCACGAATAAGACAAGTTCCAAATTACCATGGAGCAACAGCTGATACAGGTCAAGAAGCGAGTCGAATCCAATCACTGAATTTCGAGACAGACTCACGTGCGTGGGTTAAAATGTATTGACCTACGGATGCGATCAGTGCGTTCTCTTGACCCACGATGCTAATAGTAAACATACCTTGCGGAAGTCTTGCACGAAGAGCTATTGTGAAAGTGGTCAACCAAATTTCTGCTGATCCATTCTCGGCATCCATGGCGTATATATCCTGTTGCAAATCCGGCGTTCAGATGTAAACTGATTCGTATCAAAAGATACCTACTTCATAATCGACGTCGACACCGTCGAGATCATATTCCAATACATAGTCCGCTAGACTATTAGCGAGAATCGTAGGGTCATACCCGTCGGTCGTAGGGACATCCGTGGAGCCAAAAGCGGATACGACAAGAGAAATTCCTGCATTCTCGTATGATGCCTTAATAGATGCTCGTGTGATATCATCAAGCAATGTCCACTCTTCAGCTTGATCAGTTGGACCGGAGACAAGCCAGAACGAGAGGGCACTGAAGAAAATGAGATTATGAAACACCCGTGTTTGTCCCCAAGGCTCACAAGACATTGTACCCCTGGTTCCCGATAACAAGGATCAATACGTGCTAATGGATCATTGACGGATACATACTGAGATAATACTGACGTCCGGTGGACCAATCTCATCGGAGACCCACTTATCACTGTATAGGACGAAGTGAGGGGCTGCAGGCATTGCACGAGCCGAGATTGTCGAGTTCATGAAAGGCATAGACAACACCCCGCCTATGGCTGCGAAGATACTGACGAGGCTCGAGAGCATGATGAACCACGAGAGGTGGTGATAAATCAGCCATCGGTAGGGATTTATATCTTACGCTACAACCTCATTCGAGGCTTGGTGTATCATGATGCGATCTCAATGACAACACAGGACGGATCTGATCGAAATCAGCAGACACATATTTCTGCTGTCAAGAAGGATCAATAATACCATGCTCTTCCGAGAGATCCCCTATATATGGCAGAACGAGTGGCGTGCAAAGCAATAAATAAAATACGTACGAGGGATTGAAGAATCGTTGGCTGTGATTTTGCAAAAATAAGAACATCTAATTAGCGAAATCAACACTTAATCAAAGAAAACTTAAACTTAAGGTTGTAAACTCACGGCAATTCTGTACCTATCAGTGTGGAAATGGACAGCGAAAGAGCTCGGAAGGGCAAGATATCGAATAGTACTGCCAGCTGGCAGCTGTACTTATCTCGATCCTGAAAAGACTGGTAGGTGACGGAGGCGAAAAAAGTGTGAGGTAGGTTTTCAAGCCAATCAGATGGATACAGTCCGTTGCACACGGACGGACACTCAGCTAAATCTGGGTGCACGTAACCAGTGTCGAGCTATCCTCTGCTGGTAGTATACAGCGCTTGTATCTGCCCAAACTGAATAATCTATGGTCTCCCCTAGTCAAGCCATATGGTGGGAAGACAATCGTTTCTCCTTGATGATAGTCTGCTTTCATTGGCACATTCGATAATACATACTTGTCAGCGAGTCTCATATCCAGACTTGTGGGCGAATTCAAAAATGGCAGGAGATGCCAAAACGGACCAGGCATAAGAAAAAGACACGGGAACTTGTTCCATTTAGTACATCTATGATCTGACCAGACGTCGACATAATCAACCAATGGGGCTCATGACAGTGACTTCTTCACCTACTAGTACTCAACTACGTGCCTAGGGACATATAGTCCGTCGGCGATAAGCATCAGAATTTGGGACCGGGCAATGCCCTTTCGAGTTGAACAGTGTAATTTGTTTCTAGAGGGGGCCAATCACGAACTAATTCGTCTTCCTCTAGGGCTCTCCAATGAGGTGATGGAGTGGCGCGAATGTGCGAGAAGTCCTGGGGCAAGAAAGGGAGCTCGGTATGGTCTCTGGTGATCAGATGTTGCTGATCACTGGTTGTCTGTGGTGATATGGTCATCTTTAGGCGATTCAATAGATGGAATAGGGAAAGGATTGGACCTTCAACTCGCTCGGGTATGCACCAAATCTCACTTGATCACAACTTTCGATTATTGGATTCGATGTAATGTCAAGATAGGCATCGACAGCAGTAGAATTGTGCATCCTGAACTGCTAGTCATGAGCACAGTATATTGTAACATACGCGGACAATATAACCTTACCTGGTGACATCCAGCAACAACCACGCAATTTGTTAAGTTGTGTAACATGATGCTACCATCGACACTCCCTAGAATGAGAATTGAATTCTGTATATCGCGGATGTGAAGCGCCGAAAGGGAAACGGTATTAGCAGACAGAGTTGACTCATTCGTGGTCGTAAGAAGATTCAGAACGCTGTTCGATATTCTTATTATAGACACCTCTATGTGATTTGTGGATGAGCTGGGGCCAGAAAGGCACGATCTAGAAAGGTAGGAATTGGAGTGGTCGGATATCGTTCTGGAGGCACTAGATATTGGTGTTGTAGGCATCGCTAGTGCATTCGTTTGAGCAGGTGGCGTGGCGGTCTCTGCTGATGCTGGAGCTGGTATTTTGACCTTCCGTTTGAAAGCGAATTTTGTTTTCCCTGCAGTTGATGAACGCAATTCCTCAAGCGACTTCTCTAATGCTTTAAGTTGCTGTCCATTGGTTAGCTCAGACATCAGAATCAGACGAAGGGCACACACTAGTTCATTTTGTCTTTGATCATAGCTTGGAAGTCTCCCGGTAGCTTCAGTCAAACGCTTGTTGAGAGCTTGTATTTCTCCGGCGATTGAATGCACAGAATCTGCATTCGCAACTTTGAGACGGGAGGCAAGTTCTACGAACTATAGTAGCGTCGGTATTACCGGTGTAAAGGCGAAGGGCTTTACCAGAACAAGACGCTTGAAAGGAGGACGTGAATGCTTGAGCAAACGTCCAGATGGCCTCTGCGCCGTCATCGGATGTCATAATGGTCAAATAGAACAGGATACTTAGTCGAGTGGTCGAAATGATGTGGCATGAAGTTTAGCTATCATATAGCTACTAGCCTGATTTAATCGTGATCATGGAAGTTAAAGGATTCCGGGTTTTGCCAGTTACTTACTGTAGCCATTATTGACACGTGCACGATACTTTGCTGCTTACGCTCATGCACCAAGATATGCCCTTCCCTCGCACCAGCAGTAGTAACTGGCTTCTCGACTCAAAACTCTACACAAAGACCTTGTATTCACTAATCCCGATTTAGTTTGAGTTTCTCAAAGCTCAGAGCGCTCAAGGTTCTACGGCTAGCACAGACTGAACTGAGTTATGTTGACCAGATCCTTTGGAACAGGCTGCAGCATTCCCTCTCAAAAATTACACCATAGCATCCATCAAGTCAGCGTTCGCTTCCCTCAAGTCTCGCTGGCCATCATCCCCTCTCCGCGTCGCGGTCTTCAATGCGGGCTACGCTGTCTGGAAGCTAATATTCCTTGATATCACGGAAGACAAAGTCCGTGAGTCGATCGACGGCATACGGTAAGCATAGGGTCAGCATCTACAAAGTATCGTCTAATCAGGAACAGCCATCATTACTGGCCGCACCAAATCTCGTCACTTCGGCGTGGTTAATCAGGATATTCGACTTGATCCTGATTCTATCGCAAAGGTTGGAGCATTCTTGTAGCAATACGCGCCTAAACTTATCGTCGAGCAAGATAGTTCAGCCTGGACTTGGGAAATTGACCGTAAAGGTGGTTCCGATTTGCTACCCTGTCTCCACTCTCTTCCAAACAGTGCGTCCTGCTCACGAAAAGTGGTGAGCTCGACCAGCAATTTTTGGTCTGGAGATCAGAAATCATTGGATTTGTAAGTCTTGGATGTAATTATGTTGTTGGTGTATAGATGCGCCTTTTTCACTTGTCACGTCCTGATATCCTTTTGCTTCTCGAAACTATCTTTTACCTGCGGTAAAATGTGTCGTAACAATCAGAAAGTGAGTCTCCATCTTTACCTACAGCAAAAAAATTACCAACTGTGATCGATTGATCACGCGCATGCATCATATGCAGCCTGCGAGTGTGGTTACCGCGCTGGAACGTGGTTTTGAAGTCATAAATCAGAAAGGAAAGCTGTACACGGAGTGTAGGCAAGGGGTGGATAATATCTTTCAAAAGTCTCTCATACGACCTTGCAAGATGAAATATTTCCTCAGGGTGATTAACCTGCAGGTCTGTATACGTAGATCTGCGAGTCGGAGATGTCACTCGCTTACTAATTCGTGCTGAGTCGCCTCGTTCCTTTCGAATTCGGGACCGTGGTTTCTCTATGTTCTATTTCTGGAACATGCATCAATCACGGATCGGAAACAATACTTCGCTTTCACTGAAACAGGCTAGATTCCATGACTGTATGGGCATCGGCAGAAATCTTCTGAAGCTGACTAGTCAAGGCGGCGTGCAGTTACTATACGCATCAATGCTGTGTAACCTTCACTATGTAAGTAGTACCACGCTTCACAGAACGCCCATCCCCATCCCAAATCCCTCTGTTTCCTATTTCCCTTCAAGTTTGTGCTCGATACAATGTCCGATGACCTCCTGGCTGTATTATGCGCCTCCTGCTGTGGGTCAAACCGTTCTAATGGTCCATCTACTTTTGAACTTACACCAATTAATAATTAGGTGTGATGGGGAGTTCACTTCAGCAATGGTTTGATACCCGTCAGTCTTCCTTGAACCATGTCGTTCTTATCGGTCACAACTTACAACGCATACTTTTGGCATACTTAGATGCATTAGGTGCTAATTGCCGATGTTGTAGTGGCCCACGCGGGTGTTGTAATAGTTGTTTTGAGTCGTCCTCGAACGAGGACAATTTTGATGAACAACTCAAGAAAGACACGGAACGCAGAGAAGCTGCTGCTGAACGACTTTTTGATGCTCAACCTGCCCCCACTCAAGACATGAACTGTGAAAGCTCCACAGACAAGCCAGTCCCGTCGAAATAAGTGTAAGGTCGTGCTGTTTCTAATCTTCTGCACATATCCGAAATTGATAGTGAACCTCAGGCCTCGAATCTGTTTCATTGTACCACGAGAGCTCGTAGGCATCAATAGGATAGGCTTAGGAAGAGATAACCATAAACTCGCGAACTAACTTGGAATTCGGGAAATTCCCTTCATCCTCGATATGATAATGACTTGTGTTTCACCTAGGGGTCATTTAGCTCAGTAGCTCAGCCGCTTAGTGGGGTAAATCAAAGCTATGTACTCACAGAAAGTCTAGCTGATGGACAGTCTGGCCCAGCGCAAGTCTGTCAGACTCCGGGGGTATTTTCAAGTTGTCTGGGTTTGGGGGGTCAGCCGTACATCCGGGGGTGAGAGGGGCAGGAGCTCGTATAGCTAACGTAGACTCACTCCGACCAAATCGAGCCGGACGGTTGACACACCCTAGACTCGGAGTCTGACAGACTAGCCCCCACTAGACTGTCTGTTTCCCGGTTCTCCGTGCTTAGGACCACTAGCGGCAACGGAATAACAACGTAATATATATATACGTATACGCGGGCACTAGGCCCATCTACAACTTTAGCCGCTCAATGAGCTGGTCATTGAACGCTCGGTTTGGGATAGTTCAGGGATTGGTTACGGCCTCAAGTTTTTTTGGAAAAAATGGACTAGCCGAGGCATGTCACGATCCGAAGAACCAATTCGCCGTGCGGCAAGATAGAAATACCAGATTATCGAGTTATCGAGTTATCAAAATCCAGATCAGTGATCATGATATGATCATATCATTGATAATATTGAAAATCGTAGATTGAAAAACATGACTATGCCAGTAGAAAACTAAGTAAAGCTAGATATAATCTGCGTGCAGTGTGTGGTACCACTCTTTATCAGAGAATGAATTGAGATAAAAATCATCGTAGCGTTCAAGAGATGTCACTGAGGTGACAGAGCGATCCAATGTCGTTCCATAGATTGGTATCAGTTCTACAGCGTGTGTGACATCGACAAGGCGTACTATCTTCCCGATCCTTGTGCGAGAACCATCAGGCGCTGTATAAAACGAACGTCGAACTCGGTACATGGCAATGTGCGGCTCAGCTTCAGGGAGCGCAGTTACTTCGAATAGCTGAACATACAGAAAAGGATCCTTGAGCTGGACCGGCAGCTGCGACCCTCGTGTTGACAGTGCGAAAACCATTCTAACTTGAGCAATGCATGGCGCTAAAGCGATATCAGTACCTGGAATTGAACAGAAATTTGAAAACTTACTAGACTGCGGGTTAGCACCCGTAGGTTGAAGAAGGACAATATCGCAGTATCCATAAGGATAAGTATTGGACGGTGGAATGGCCTGAACCTGCTGGCTCGGCATGATATTACATGGACGGAGTCGAGAATGGAGCTGCAGTCTGAATTTGAACCAGACTTTGAGCAAGCGACTATGAAACGGCGAGTTGCGACCTGAGACACCATCGAGATATTGTGAAAGGATATGTGGAAAATTTGGGAGATGGTATAGTTGAGCAAGAGCGGTGGCAGAACGATCTGCAAGATCGTGGGCAATTGTAACATGGAAGGCAGCATTGGCTTCGTCTGAAAGTAGTCCCTTGAGAAAATGATTGCGAACAGGACGAATGGCTTGAAAACGTTGCATTTCCTGTGGCGCAACACGCGCTATCCAACTGAACGTCGGGTCCATATCAACGACTTCATCAAACTCGTCATCCATAACGTTGACGAGAGACATCCCCTGTTCACGAAGGAGGGCGTAGAAGTCGAATTGTCGCATCACGTCCTGGCGATGAATGATGTTGACAACCTGCTGAGTGAATGTGGCCCGTTGGTGACTTGTCCGTTGGAATGGTGTCTTGCAATGTGTGATCAACAGCCGTTCACTGACATCTGCGGAATATTGGATTATGGCTCCTGATTTACGAATAGAACGTGCGAAGGAGTTGAAGAGCTCGAGTTTTGGGATCCGAAAATGAGCTATTGGACCAGAGGTTCCCGTGCGAGCCTGTGCCTCTAAGATGAAGTGTTTGTAGGTATGAAATTCGCGCAGGGAGTCAGACATGCTGTTAATGGACGAGTCGGTGAAGGTAGGAGCCTGTGCTTTGTATATGAAATCTATAAGCGCACGGACTGCACGAGTGAATCCAGGGGATGTCACACCCACAATAGTGGGGACAAGGGTTCGCTGGATATCGCGATGTTCACGTCCAGTCATCTGGTTAACATGAGAGACGCCATCAGTGAAATGACGTGTGCCAACACGTTTATGCTGGCTGCGGAACCGAGCATCCAGCTCATTAGCGCCTATCACCTCCTTGCACCACTTCAGTATGTGATCAAAGAAAAATTTGTGGCCTGTGTGCAGTATCTCGGGGACAAGGAAAACCGCAGGGTCAGCAAACTTCCAGTCACGCCAAAACGGTTTGTGAACGCCGCTGAGGGACACCTTCTTTGCTGCCTCCTGGAATTCCCGGAACTTCCAGGGATCGAAAACCTTGCCAATCTCATGCAGCTGCAGTAATGTAGACATGCCATTACGGGGAGGGTGTGTGATGCTGTCGTCAAATTGTGCAAGTGTGGCTAACGTCGTTGGTGAGACACTTTTCGAGACGCAGGAGATCATGAGTTGTTCAGGAAGGTCGGCAACGTGGGCGATGAGCGGCGTGAATGCATAGCGCTGGCATCCCATCGGGTCTACCATTAATTCACCCATATGAGAAGCGATCTTCAGCTTTTCGAACACCATGTCCATGCAACTATGCCAGAAGCGTGCTTCCAACAATCCTGCATAATCACTATTTGTGATGTATTCCGGACTCGGGATATATGCAACGCACTCCCATGCATGCGAGGTTGCCTTCATACGGATCTCAGAGTGGATGTTGCCGATTGTGAGAAACGTTGGGTGCATCTCAAGTGAGCCGGTGTGTCGAGTTACTGGAGTCTTGTCCGAAGTGAGAATTATAGGCACTATAGTTGCGCCGATTGGCAACTTATCCTAGAAATAAATCAATTTAGTTAGATGTGACCACATTGACGAGGATGTATTGAAGTCACTTACTTGAATTTCAAACGCGTGTTCACACGACATCCATTCTCCGTATTCACGCTCACCATCATCGTTTATTTCGTAAGGGTCGTATTCCATGTGGTTGGCGAAGATCGGATTGCCAAAGATATGGTGAACAACTTCGAGGGCATCTCGCCAGATGAGATTCACAGGATGAGTAGTCGCATATCCATCAGTATGCATGGGTGTACACCGCCATTGAGGAACCTTTGGTAATGTGTCCATGAATGTGAAGAGTTGCTTTGCGGTCTTAAAAGACAGTGGCCGCTTCGCCTCTGCGACCACCTGGAAGAGTAAAATCAGCCCAGCCAATGTGAATTGATTGACACGAACCCAGAGAAGCTTTAAAAACCTGGTAATCTGCCCCTGGTTCAAGTTGTCACATAGAAATTTTGCGAGCTCCCACTCTGCTCTATCTGAGAAGGGGTAATAGACATTGTGTTTACGCATCGGCTCGAAATCGTCCTGCTCCATCCGCTTGAATGTATTGGGCTGACCAAGCTTATGAATGTAACCTGACGAATGATGGAATCGCCCTTGTCGTGGCCGATCTTCTGATGCTTGGGGGATGCGGAATGCAATTGGAGGGGGGATCAATCGGTGAGAACATCCTGGATAGAGGTACTAGTAGTCAGCGCATTCAATTTTGGGAGTTAGTTGGCTATTTACCTGGATCATCAGAAAGATGAGCACAGATATCCTCTGCGCTGTTGAAAAGATTAGAGCAGATTGGACATTGGACTGCTTGGCCGAAACTACTATGTGCTGGTCAGTCTGACTGAATCCAAAGCGATATTACTTACTCAATGCTACTGAGTCGCTCAGCAGCATGACTGTCACGACCAGGAGAATTGTGTGGGTTCATAGCAGCAGTAATGCAGAGTGATGTTGGTGGACGGTGCACTGTGCACCGTGACGGTGTTGAACTTCCTAAGTCTTTCAAACACCGCTGCCACGCCACTTGCTCATACACTCACAGCCAGCCGTATATTCATGAGTAGATTCGCTGTCAAGACTCCTTCAAACCGTTCCTCAAGCCCAGCCAGCTCTCTTACCTGTGTGGACCTCTCGTCCTCGTTTCATAAAGACCACGCCGAATTCAAGGACATGGATGTCTTTGGCACAGTACATGAAATTTCATTGTCCCCCTCCCAAGCGCAACACTCTCTGGACCCTCCCTCTCCACCATCTGGCACTAAGTCCCCTTTAAACTTACCCAAATCCCCCGTGAAATCCAAATCCCCCGTGAAACCCAAATCCCCCACAAGATTTGAGCCATATTTGAAACGCAGGGCGACTGCAGCTGCCACAGCTGACTTTGCTATGAAATCTCTGCGAGGCCAGACTGCCAGAGAGATGAATCCTGGAGCCGCTCTGATGGTGAGTTATTATTTACTGTGCAGTGTTAATTAAATAACCGATATCGCATATACAGGCCAAAGATATCTTTACTCGCGGCCTTGACGATCTACCAGATGAGATGATACGTGAAGGTGCAAGGGCACAGTATGCTACTTGTGAGATATCCAGACACCATCTCGCTTCCTTGACTTGGGAGCTTGAAGCAAGCAGCCGCTGGACCAGCTTCCTGGACCTTGCTAGGAAGTTCTTGAAGGAGAAGCATGCATACTCCGAGAGAGATCTTCTGATCTGGGAACAGACCTGTACCAACCGTGGGGTGCAAGATATTTATGAAGACAGGCCCTACCACGAGTACGCAGCTACTGAAGAGACTCTTACATTATCGGTACTCCAGGAACAGGCTCGTCAGTTGAAACAGTATGTCGAGGAACGAGGCGTAGATGATCTGTCAGATGACGTAGATGATCTGCCACATGACGGAGCTGACTCTGATGGCTGCTGCTATGATTTACCCAAGTGGGGCAGTCCTACCTTGAGCCAGGGTATTACGTTCGAAGATTAAACACTGTGAGCATGAAACGTATCAGCCATCATTTCTCGTACTTATTTTCCGGTGATTGTTGAATTACATATTATTTCTCGCAGCATCATGATGTAGCCATGCTGTATACACTCTTCGTATGCGTTTTCTTGTACGTCTCATACCAAATCAGTATATCGTTATCGTTATCGCGATCATGGCCAGGCCATCAGTTCTAACTTCTCATGTTGACCACGATCAAGCCCTGTTCACGACCATCATGCCACCCAAAGCCACGCAAGCACCCAAGAAACCGAGACGTAAACAACCACAAAACTCGAGGGTAATGTTTCTGGTATCTTTC